TTTATTCAATTTTTGTACAAGTGAGTTTAGATTCAGTTTGTATTTTTCCTATCATTTATACTTCTGTATCATGTAAGTTGTGTTTGTTAGGAGGTCGTATTATAGCACTGCCGACCTATTCCTCCTATACAATAAATTCATTATTGTGTTTTGTATTTGCTTGTGTGTGTTTCATTATTACCGAGTTTAGAGCATAAATAAGTTATTTTCGGTACGCAGTTTAGAAAATAATGAAAAATAGCAGGAGGTAAACAAAAGAAGACAATGGAATATGGTGCGTTAAGCCCGTGTGAAAAACCTCCATGGAATTCCATGGATTTCCATGGAAATTTCTCCATGGAATTCCATGGAGGATTAGGACACCAACTTCCATGGAATTCCATGGAAATTTCTCCATAGATTTCCATGGAAAACATTAGGACACCAATTTCCATGGAAATTTCTACATCGATATTTTCCATTGAGGATTAGGACATTTTCCATGGAATTCCATGGAAAAGCTCCATGCAATTCCATAGAAACTACTCCATCGATTATTCCATGGATCTCCAGGGAGTTTCATGGAATTCACAGGTCAATTAGACAGTTAAAATATCCAGTGAATCAAATGGAATACATAACAGATTTTGGTCCACTGCAATTTATTTAATCAATATAAGGACCGCATAAATCTCTTTTTAAAGATATCAATCAAAAGTTAACATGCTTTTGGCGGAAAATTTGACATACTGTAGCTTAACAAATTAATGTTTACTAATGTGACTATATACATGCAGTTTAGAATGCAGCAATCATATTGAAGTAGCGTCAATGAAAAATCTAGATTTAATAGATAGCAAGGAATCTTGGCCTGGTGTTTAAGAAAAGTAACAGGCGAACAGATGCATAATTCAGTGAAAAAAATAAGCTAATACTTGAATGCATAAACCGTCAGTATGTAAGACGTAAACATGGCTCTATTTAATGCGACGAAAAAGGGAAGTGTTACTTATTTCATCGATCAGAACCACTATGGTATTTAGTTATAGCAAAGTCCTACCTAATCCTTGGGAAAAAACGGCGTCAGCCACAATTATAATTTATCAGTCTCTTGTATAGTTTTTACGTAGCAGGCATGAAAATTCTAAATATGATATTTCTTCTTAATACATCGAAGCAGTCCATTGAATGTACAGTCTTCGATTTCTAATTCTGCCAGAATTAGTAATTATTCCAAAGGATTCCGAAGGCAATTTGTACGAAAGACCACATTCATATCTGCATAAGCAAGACAGATGGAAACTACATATTAAAACCGATAAACAGCACCCGAAAACATACCCTTCTAAATCTAGCAGAGACAATCGAGCGGACGAATTGAGCAACCAAACACGAGTTGTGTACATATTAAGCTTACCTTTCTCTTTAATGTGCGATCCAGCCGAGTCATTGTTTAATCGAAGTCGATTTGAAAGAAGCCAAATGTAAGCAACCTCACAAGTGATATTTTTCGTTGAAAAGAACATCTTTTTCGGATGTATTCATTGCAAAGACAATCCGTTTACACAACACTGTCGTACTGCACAGAAGTCCGCCTAAAGATTTGAACCAAGAAAACTGATCTTCTACGCATTTCACTTGAAGGGATAGACGAGAGGGCCCTTCCTCGATCCCGAGACTGGGACCGAGTTATACGATCGCCGAGTTTAATCGCCGAGTAAATCTTCGTTTCTGCATCGATCACCGCATCGCAGTGGCCAAAAAATGGCGCGTAAAGGAGTCAGAATGAATACTTGATGGCGTATTCAAAAAGATGCGATGTGATTTATTTTGTTTCTTGTTTTTTTTTCATCTAAAATATACTTAACATTGACCTATTCGTACTTCGAAAAATATTACTGGCTCCCGCCACTAATAGACCTGGTCACGGTTTTCGACGCCATCTTGACGAGTAGGCAAACGCGTGAGAAATTACAGTGTTTGTATGAGAATCCAATGCTAGATTCCTTCAGCAGAGATTTCCTTTCGAAAACACAAAACGATTCCAGTCACCGTTGTCTTCCGCAATTCGTTGTGAAGAAGGTTATGAATGGCGGGCGCCAAACACGGCAGTATCAGTTCGCAGATCAGAGTTGGTCGACCACGTGCGTGCGAACAAATCTCTCTCCAGAACACTTTCCGGTTCGCTGAGCGATAATCCCTCGACAGCACCAATTGCAGAAACTAGTTTTCACTTCTGACACCATGTAACGTATTCGCTAAGACGGATGACGGAACACTAGAGCACTCAAACACAACGCTTTAATCTTGTAAGCCGAGTGTACATCAACAAGCGAAGAACGCGCAAAACATGCCGGATCCCGGATGTAAACTAAACTGTATAAATTAACTTAACATGCATAAATTAACATCGTTACAGCTGTAACAGGGCTGTGACAAAGCTGCAACTTACCTGAGTTAAAACAAGTGGAGCTGTGACAGGGCCGTAAAAGTGTACATAGTTAAGTGTAACAAGCCTGTTACATGGCTGTGAAAATATCCAGTTACCGTAACAGGGTTAAGACAGGGCTTAGCCTAGTAATGCAGAAGAACTAGTACAGGGATGCAGAATGACATGGCTGTGTTAGGTACATTTGACAGTAACCGGGTTACTACAGAGCTGTGAGATCACATAATGGATAATAATCAAAGTACAGTAGTTTAGCCAAGTAAGGTCAACTCTATAAATCATGAAAGATGGCAGTATTTTTGAAAGTTTAAAAGTGTTAAAAGAAGCGAGGGTCGGCTAGATCGTTAAAACAAATAAAACGAAAAAGAACTTGCTGAAATGGTATGTCTAAAATAAATCATCAAACACGATTATTGTAAACCTTTTAATACGCTGTTTTTGGTTTTGTGTGGGTTTGCTTCGTTTTTTTCTTATTCTTTTTCATTGACACCTACATTAATTACCGATTTTGTGGCTACCTTTGTAATTTGAAGTTGCTTTCTTAGCTAAGACTTTTATCTCATGTTAAAAACGAAGACCTTCTTTGATACGATCAGCTTACCATTTTTACAAACACCTATTTCATCAGCTCCTGTTCTTCCTGTTCTTTTAAATAAAAAAAAAACACCGCAGTAGCTTAATTACTTTTTTACAGCAATGTACTAAAAATGAAAGACTTTAAGATCACTTTAATTTGTTTTCCTGCGTGAGAGATCTCTGCAAGCATGGAGATCGAGAGGCCTTCAATATTTTCATTACGTGACGGACACGCAATCGGTAATTCCTTGGAGAAATCTTAATCTTATTGGTCAGCACTTTTACCAGAAGATCGCATTACACATCTCCATTCCTGAAACTACTCGCGATCATTTTGAATGAAAGGCGAAGATATTCAGACGTTTTCTGCATCCAGTTTGGATTCAAAAAGTCTGTAGAGCGTTTTTTGCTGCTTTTGAAGCTGAGAGTGAAAAAGTATCAGCAAAAAAATAACTGTGCTTTAAGCAGCTCTTAACGAATGGGAAACAGATCGATCTAGTGGACAGAAAACATTCCGCGGCACTTGCAAGATTCAAAGATTGTTTGCCCTGCAAGTTCATTTAGTACACCATTGAAGCAACAACTGAAACACCAATGGATTGGCTCTTTTCATGAGGAAATGTAACACATTGTGGATCATAAAGGAAAGACGATCGAGGTGAGCGATTTCAAATTAAGCTTGTTACAACGAACCAAAAAGAATTATTATAAACTGCCAACCTCGAAACCGTTGGTACAATGGAACTATTCCGCGTTTCGATCATCTCTTATAATTGCTGACAAAAATCGTTTTTTTGTTTTTTGACCTCGGTTATTGTAAAGTCGGCATTTTGACGCGCTAGTTGCACATTAAATCGAGCGACTATGACCAAGTGTTTAACAAGCCAGATCAGACTGTTGCATGCAGTTCAAATTTTGTTTTGTTTATATTTTTACACATTGTAACATGTGATCGTGAAAAATAAAGTAACGTTAAGTTCTTAATTGACTATAATTATTTTCTGTTTTCCTTTATTGAAAGTGAATGTTTGTTGTTTGCATGGCTTTTGCTACTTAAGTGACTAAACGGACTAAACCAGCCGTTAGTGGTTTAACTTTGAAGCTTTTTATGGGGCAAATCGTTCCTTTTTCATGAGTTCAAATATGCCTAAAAAGATAAATTTTCATCTTTAATAGATACGAAGTTATAAAAAATTATGTTCTGATAGTATTATAATCCTAATGTGTAGAAGTTAAACGGCTAGCCTGTCTAAAGTGTAGATTTTGTGAGTGGTAAAAAAACAGCCCTGTTAACTGCCAATTAACAAGTAGTAACATGGTTGTGATGCATAAAACCTGTACCAAGGCTGCTAAAGGAATGCCACAGTGTAAAAACAGCCTTGCTAACTGTGCCAATTCACGAGCTGTGGCAGGGATGTCCACCACAGGGTGGAAACAGGGTTGTAACATGGCTGTTACAGGGTGTCTACTAGGAAATTTTGAGTTAAACGTGACAGGGCTGTTCCAAGGCTGCTACAGTGTAGAAACAGCCTTGCTAACTGTGCCAAATGACGAGCTGTAAGAGGGTTGTGACAGGTTAGTTTTACAACCCTGTTCCAGTGATGCTACAGAGCTCTTACAGGGTAGAAATTTTGTTAAGGGAGCTGTTACGAAAAAAAAAACAAAAAAAACTTAGAGATGGAAAATTGCCAATTTTTATAACTTCCAAGGATCTAAGGAAGAAATTGGATGTGAATTTTAAGCCTTAGGAGAATCTCTTCTCTTTGATGAATCCTTTCAGAGGAAAAAAATTGTTTATTTATCACAAACAATGAGTCACATGCCTGTGGCTAATGAACAGTCAAGCCAGAAAAAACAAAATTAATACAAGGTAATGTAAAAAGAAACCACCACAACTTGGCATACTAACAGATTGTTGTATCCCTCCTTTTGTTAGTGGCACTGGTGATTCGTGATTCTTAGTTATTTTGAATAACTTTTGTATGTGAATTCTATC